GTGCAAAATTCTGGTGGAGCAGTGGATGTGATCAAGCAGCTGGTATTCATTGGAAATCATGGCAACTTCTTACTATGCCTAAAGTGTTGGGGGGACTTGGTTTTCATGACCTTAACCTCTTTAATGAGGCTCTTATTCTGAAACAGGTCTGGAGAATTATCACCATGCCCAATCTTCTAATCAGCAAATTCTTGAAAGGAAAGTACTTTCCCTCTGGGAGCATTATAAATGCTGGAGTGACTCAGAGTGCATCATGGCTATGGTCAACCTGGATGGCGGTAAAGACAAAGTATAAGGGATGTTTCAGGGTGCAAATTGGTGATGGCTTAACCACAAAAATATGGCTTGATCCCTGGATTCCCAACACAGTCTCAGGTATTCCTCAAGCTTCAACTGCAAATAACTCTCATGAGTTTCAATGGGTCTGGGAATTACTTGAAGATGGAGGCAGAAAATGGAACACAGATTTAGTTAGATTGTTATTCAATGCCAATGACAGTGATAAAATTCTTCAAATCAAAACTTTGGATCCAATTAAGAAGGATAGATGGGTTTGGAACCAAGATGCAAAAGTTGATTTCTCAGTGTCCAGAGCCTACTCCAAACTAGTAGAGGATAAATTCAGAAGCTTAGATGTTGCAGAGGGGAGTAAATCTGCTGGCAGTCTCAGGAAGATTAGAACCAGAACATGGAGACTTAAGGTCAGAGGCAAATTGAAGCACTTTATCTGGAAGTGCTTTTCAGATGCACTTCCGGTTAAAACATTATTAAGAAAAAGAGGCCTGCTGGTGGATGGGATATGCCAATCTTGTGGGGAGGAGTATGAAACAGTTGAGCATGTGTTTCTTCACTGCAAAAGGGCTAAAGAAGTCTGGCAAGCTGCACCTGTTCAATGGGAGCTGGGGCAAAGAGAGCATACAAAATTCAAGACATGGTGGGGAGATGTTTGCTCTGTGGGTAGACTGGAAGTTGCAGAAGCTAGAATTGAGCTCACCACGTACTTATTGTGGTGGCTCTGGAAGGCCCGGAATCTCAGGGTCTTTAAGAAAGAGTGGATGCCTGCCACTTGTATTATCAGAATAGCAACAAGGGAATGGCAGGAGTATGCCAATAGAAGGAAGGAACCAAGCTGAGAAACAATGTAGAGGTGTCTAGGTCCTTGCCCTGGTTCAGTGGACCCTTCTTCATCTTTTCTCTGGCCTTTTTGTGGGTTCTTTCTTTTGTTTGTAGATTTGATCTGCTAGCTTGATTAGTTTGTGCTTTGGTCTCATTTCATTTGCAATACTATGGGTTTCAGAGTTCTACTGGCCATAGTATGTGCTTGGTATTGTTGGGATTGTTGTTTAGATTGGTTTAGTTTGGGTTTGCAGGATTGTCAGGTGGTCATTTTTGTTTAGAGCACTGGATGTAGTGCCTCTCCTTATTAGAGTCAGTTGACTCTCGGATCTGTAATTTTGTACATTTTGTGTTATAATATCCTCTATCGTTCTTGAAAAAAAAAATATAATAAAATATATAAATATAAAGTTAGAGATGTCAAAACGGGCTTGGGCCCACGGGCCAGCCCGCCCCGCCCCACCAAAAGAGTGGGTTGGGATGGGATATTAGAGGCCCGATTGGGAGCGGGCCTAAACGGGCCAGCCCGCGCGGGCCGCGGGCTGGCCCGTCTTAACAGAAAAAAAAAAAATATACATGTAAATTGTAATTATGAATGTATAATGTATTAATGTTAATGTTAATGTATTTTTTTTTCCATTTAAGTCACAATAAAAATAACAACTAATTAAATAACAAAAGTACAAAACAAATTGAACAAATAATAAAAAAATAGCAATAGAGAAAAAACGGGGCTTATTTTTTGTTTGGATTTGAATTAAATGAATGGACTTTGGTTTTGATTTTCAATGTTAAGTAAGATTATTGTGCATTTATTTACATAAGTTATTGTTGTGATTATTCAATTGTATGCTTAAGTAAGGTTTTTTTTTTTAATGAAATAAAATTAATTTTTAAGTTTTTTTTTTTT